ATTAGCAAACCATGCTCTTAAAGCACCAACATTTCTATCTTTTCATTTATGGGATTTCTCCCACTTTTATTCATTTAATGAATTAAAACTCTTACAGCCCCTTAACATAGTTCAGCTGCAGATTTTTAACCATCCATTCACCTTCTCACAATTAATACTCAAGACATAATGATTAAAACACAAAAGTTCTATTTATGACACATGCACAAACAATATTTCGAAATAATAGCATATAGCATCTAAAAATTCTCAAATTTAATTATATGCTACCTAACTGACTAAATGAACAGATGCAAAAAGAATTTTGTAGTTTCCTCAAAAATCGGATTTATAAAAATTAAAATACTCGGCAAGTAGTATTGAAGCCAAAAATGATTTTTCCAACAAAGTTTAATTCAAAACTAAGGCCAAATAGCAAATAATCAAATTCCACTTACTCCTACTGAGATTTTAAAGATGAAAACATTTTTCATGTCGAAGTTTCAAGAAATTGCAGATTAGTCCTAAAGATTCATAGATCTACACATGCAACCCCAAAAAAAATCTTGAAAACTCATTTTCTTTTTCCAAAATTCCCAAAAATTCGAAATATGAAACCTTTAAACACAAAATGCTTAGAATCACAGATTATAACATGGATTAGACATGCAAGAACACAAATAACAAGATTAGTGCAAGATTTCGTATTTTACACCCCTAATTTTTCGAAAAGTGAAGAAATCTTTTAGGTAATTTCAAAAATTCTTTTCCATACTATGATACCCTTCGATTGCAGCAAGAAATTCGAGATTTCTTACCTATTAAAGAGTGTTTGGCCGAAGAAAGAAAAAACCTTCAAAAGAAAAGAGGGTTTTTAGAGAGAGAAAGGAGGATGAAGAAAATGAAGAACACAATGATACAATGTTACCTCCTTCAAGAAGTGGCTCCATGATTGAACCAAGCTAGTTGAATGGAGAAGGTAAGAGCTTTGATATCAAGTTGGGAGGAGTTTAATTCTCCCGTAAGAGGGCAAGTGTTTTTGATGGTGTTCTTGGCATATTCAAGGGTGAAGCTTATATAGGGGATTTGCATTTTGATTTCTCTATTTTTTTCTTGAGAAATTTTGAGGTGTTGGCCGATGGAGATGGTGGTGCTTCGGTGGTGATGGTGAAGAGAAGACAAGTGTAGGTGTAGGTGTCAAATGATGAAGATAGATGGGTGTCTCTTGAGATTACTTAGCATGCTTGAGTGTAGGATTAGTGTAACTCCTCACTCTTTGCCAAGTGGACAAGCATGCATCTTTTCTAATTTATTTCTTAATTAATAAATTCACTAATTAACTCTCACACACACACATATCCGAAAACACACACACACATATATTTAAATATGTATTTCACTTATGTAGGTCTAGCATGCATAGGCATATAGCTATATATGTATAAACGTATATGTATATGTGCATGCATGTATAATGTATTATAAAACACTTAGAGAATTAAAATGCCACAAAATTAATTAACTATAACACATAAGTCACATAAATTAATCTAACACATAATTACCAATAATTAATCTACTTAAGCACATAATTATCAAAATAAAGTTGGCACATAATTATTCAATAAATTCCTACCACATAAGGCATATAATCAAATCGGCATATAAGGATTAATAGTCTAAGCAAATAAGGCACTTAAGGCACTTAAGTTAATAAAGTGAATAGATTCCTAATAATTCCTACGTGAGAATTTTCGGGTTATGGAATTTTGGTTAGGGATTAGGGTTTCAAAAATTAATACAAACCTACTATTCCTTAAATCAGACTGTTTATTAATTCAACTATTTATTAAATCAAACACATCTTCAAACTAGTGCGGTTATGAAAACAACTATTTATTAATTCACATTATTCCACCATCAAGACCATTAATCACAACACATGCATCTAAATCCGTTAATCACAGCAAATGCCTCTGAAGCCATGGGCAAAGCAACATTCCTGTATTTCACATAGAAAAAAACCTCATTTTATGTCCGACGAACCCTAACGCGAACAATACACATCTTAAAAACGTATGAAGCCCGTGGAAGCAGCTTATGCTGCCGATCTGCAAAACCAGGGCCGCCATAAATCCTAACGGAAGGAGGGGCAAATAACTTCGTCTTAGAGTTCCTCGCCAACGACCTACCTAGTTGATGATTTGTTAGTGATTGTCTTCGTGGGAGTTCTGATTGTTCTTCTACTTTAGATCGGCCTACAGAGAAGGGAGAGAAAGAGAGAAAGCGAGAGAGGAGAGAGATCAGAGATAAAGAGAGAGAGATCCATATTAATTCAACCGAGAATTTTGTGATTAGTTATATAACGTAAATTATAGTTCAGGGCTAAATTAGTCATACCGTGAAAATTGTTACAAAATTTTAATTTTATTTAATAAACAAGGGTTTATCACTAATAAAGTAAAAGGAGGTGGATCCACCCTCATATACGTTAATGTATTGGGGGGTTCTCACTAATATTATTATAATTTTTCTTTTATATATAAAGATTTTCTAATTATAAAAAAAATTCAAAATTGAAATCAAAGTTGTGTAGAATTCTTTTCGACATCGATCTCTTATTTTTTTTAACCATACATATTTAACTATATTTATATGGGAAACAAATTATATTTTTTTGCTCTTTTAATTGCTTTATTTCTTTAGCAAACAATTTTATTTTATTTCAATTAAGTTTGTACTAATGTCAATATTGTTGCTGTAATTTAAATACAAATAAATTTTATATAATAGTATAGTATATATTTTTATTATAATTGTTATTGATATGCATTTAAATATATTTTTTTCACTATTTAAATGTTAGTACGGGAAGAAATACAAATATACTTAATAAAGAAAAAAAATTGTTTTATTCATAAATAAAATGTATAAATAAGCTTTTGCAAACACCAATTTTAAGTAGGATTAGAGATTATAGTGGGATTTTATACTAAGCTAATGGAATTGGCCCACGAGCATAATCAATTGTAGGTGGGCCGACATTGTACGTTGAGTATTGGGCTAATTTTCTTTCTGAAAAAAAAGGCAAATAAATATTTGGGTAAATTATATTTTCCCCCATGTACTTTGGCTTGATATTACTTTACAGCCTTCTACTCTCAATTGCATCGATTTTCCCCCTTGTACCCTGGCTCGATATCACTTTACTCATTTCTACTCTCAATTGCATCGATTTGCCCCCTTGTACTTTGGCTCGATATCACTTTACCCCATTCTCCTATCAATTGCATCGATTAAGAGTAGAAGGGGGGAAAGTGATATCGAGCCAAAGTACAAGGGGGAAAATCGATGCAATTGAGAGTATAAGGGGGTAAAGCGATATCAAGCCAGAGTACAAGGGGGCAAATCAATGCAATTGAGAGTAGAAGAAGGTAAAGTGATATGAGACAAAGTACAAGGACAAAAAGTGGAATTTACCCTAAATATTTCGAAGTATTTTTTGAAATTAAAATAGGATCACAAATTGGAATTTTGTCGTATATATTCCACTTGTGATCCAACAAAATCGAAAAGGAAAAAAATCAAATTGTTCGAAAGAAAAAGAACAAAAAAAAAAAACTTCAGTACAAAAGTTTTGTAGAACCTACACCTGATAAAATTCATCACGTAATTGTACACCATTAATCTACACATAATAACACTCACCTGTTAAAATTCATCACGTGGTTATTTATGTAAATCCATGGTTTAAAACAACGTGACGTATTTCATCAGGTTTAGGATCTCGTAAGCCAATAACGGAATCAACAAAATTAAAAAAAAATTATTTCATTTACATCCCTAAGCATTATTGATATTGTCTTGTGGTGCAGTGTAGGAGGATTAAAAGACAACCGACCAAACCAACCCGATCCAACGGACCGATGTAAAATAAGGCTTCCATTTGAGATTATTTGTCATATTCAATAGTCAAACCAAAAGAAAGTGACACCTAACAGCCATTTTATTTACATTACTAATCATAGTTTTCAATACAAAATATTTGCAGTCACAATCGAACAAGACTATATATAAATATATATATATATGCACTCAATTAATTTAACCATTTAATTAAACCGTACATGGTTCACATTATAAGTTCACACCATAGATTAAAAAAAAAAGACCTCACAGTAGAACCATAATGCAAAATTTATAAATTTCAAGTGAATTAATAACATTTAATTAATTAATCCCAATAAATAATAATCAATGAATTCCAAATATAAAATTTTAATTTAATTTAATTTAAATTAAACATAGAAAGGACCACCTTGACACAATTCAAATAAGTAGACTTTGACCCATTACTTTTCTCCACCCCCACTGCCCCCCTGTACCTGCAAATACTTTTCATTCTTTGCTGATCGAATAATATTCCAATCTCCTTTATTAAAAATAAAATAAATAATCTTCATATATCTGAACCCTGATACACACCCAATCAATAATTATGATGCATATACTTTTCATATGATGAATAAATGGTTCTTCATATATATACATACAGACATGTATGTATATATATATAAAATGACGACGACGACGATGAAGAAGATGATCGTATGCAGAAGATAAAAAAAAATAATTAATGGATACGGTGTTTCTTCTTGGCGAAGGAGATCGCGCCGCCTTTCTCCGGCAAATGATGCACTCTTTTGGTTCTGTCTACGTTTGTCTTTGGTCTTACTTACCTCACCCTTCCAAGTAACTTTACTTACTCTTCATCTCTCTCTCTCTCTCTCTAGAATTTTCTCTCTCATGCAATATATATATATATATGTATGTGTATAGCAGCTGCTTGCTAGCATTGGATGGGATATGCGGAGAACTGGCCGACGAGCGGCCGAGCTCGTCGGCCGGAAGCCTTGCTAGGCGGCTTTTCGACGTCTATCGAGAATCCGTAAACTATGTTGATTGCGGGTATGTATATATGTATATATTTAACTATATATGCACACAATTTATAGTAATACAATTTTAATTAATTAATTAATTTGGGTTCAATTAATTTCAGGAGAGTGCCAGGTTTGGCTTTCAAGAGCAACATTCCATACATGGAGCTTAATTTGCATGACCTTCAAAGGCTGGTTTCTAATCAAGTCCAGCTCCAATTCTACCAAGTAATTAATTCATTAATTAGTTTATTTAATACTCATTAATTATTTTTATTCATTTTTTAATTGTTTCATAAACTTTAGCCACTTTTAACTGATTCAAATTTTTTTCTACATATTTTCTTGATTTTTCAGGAAGCTGGGATTAAGGTATGCATTCTTATTCATAATTCAGAATATATATAGATCATTATATTGTAAATTAATTAATTATTACAATTTATGTAACATGTGTTTTTTTTATATTCTAAAAATACAGACAGTCTTGTTTATGGGGTGTGCCACAGGAGAGATTGAACTAGGAATGTCCAATGATCCTCATGTAAGTAATTTCTATCTATGTATCTATATATATATATATATATATATATATATATATATATATATATATATATATATATATATATATATGTATGTATGTATATATATTAATACTGCATACAAGAAACAACAAGTTTTACACATGCATGTATGTCAAAATAAATAAATAAATTGCAGGTAGACCTACAAATGCAGATGAAAAACTTGTTCCCGGCCGATTTCTCCCGACCCGCCGGAGATCCGAACCAGCCGCCTTCGTCTTCATCGTCATCACTAAGATCATTATCCGTCGAAAGCCCACCGGAATATTCCCCTCTCGTACTATCCCACAACATCCCCTCCACTACTTCTTCTTTCCTTCTAGAACCTTCCAACCAAGCCGCCGCCGCCACTATTACCATCACCAGCCCGCATCACGATCATCATCGTCAAATCCGAAACATCGTTAATTTTCCGAGGACAGAAACCGAAGATGCCGCGATGACAAAGGCGATTCTTGCGGTCTTGTCTTCTCCTTCAACCACTTCGTCAACGAATAATAATAATAATTCTCAACAGACTTCACATAACAGTACTAATTATCCAAGTACTACTGCATTTACAAGGTATCGAACCCCCCCGCCCCCCGTTGCCACGTCATCATCGTCGCGTAACATGTTTAAGAGATCTGTGTTGTTCTTCAGAAACTTGAATATAAGGAGAAGCCATGAGTTATTACAAGTACAAGGAAATAGGCCGAACACGACACAGCTGCACCATATGATATCGGAAAGACGACGAAGAGAGAAGCTAAACGAAAGCTTTCTCGTCTTAAGATCGTTACTTCCTCCAGGAACAAAGGTAGTACTTACGATATTGATATATATATATATATATATGTGTGTGTTTATACGTAAACCCTAGCTTAATTAATCAATATATCGATAATCGAAGTTTAAAATTTGGATCTGTATATATCCATGCATGCAGAGGGATAAGGCTTCGGTGCTTAGCGGCACGACCGAGTTACTGAGTTCGTTGAAAAGTCAAGTGGAAGAACTCAGACAAAGGAATCAGATGCTGGAATCGAAGATTTCTTCGAGTACATTATCAGATCAAGTGGTGGTGGGAAATTCTTCTTCGTCTTCTGCGGTCGATCATCAAACTAGGGTTAGTGTTGAGATTACGCAGGTTCAATCGCCGTCGACATCGGATGCACGACTATTGGATTTAAGAGTGAGAGTAAGAGGAGAGAGAAGCATGTTGGATTCGGTTATTCGAATAATGGAGTTCTTGAAACAGCAACGGAATGTTATAACCGTGTTGTCCATCGAATCGAATACGAGGATGTTTGAATCGGTTCCGGTGCATGGGATAGTGCTGAGATTGAAAATTGAGGTATGGTTATTTAATTTTCTAATTAAAATTCAAATCTTATAATCTTTAATTTAAATTCATGACATTTGATTTTATGTTTGCATGTTCAACTGCATGCATGTGTTATAATTCATACCTTCCATGCATTAATAAAATCTTGATAATTAAAATTAGGGTTTTTTCTTTAATTGTATTTATCAAATTCATTGTAATTATTTTACTAAATTCAAAATCTCGTTGATTTCGTTCGCGATGAGGTTTCTATTGATATATTAATCCAATCGTAAATCCGTTACCGACATCATAGTTGACGATTTTTTTTTTTTTGTTACGAGATATATCGTCCCACTATATTTTTTTTCCAAAATAATCAAAATAAATGGGATTAATGCACTTATAGTTGTCTTTCTCTTATCTTAATTTGACTATGAAGGCAATTAAATTAGACATAAAAAGTAATATAAATTACACCAATAAAAGTGATAAGGAAATTGTTAGGAAGCTTGTTAGGTTATCACACATGCATGTACTTCAATTTTATATAATCATTTTAATTAAATATTGTGGAAGAAATTAAAATAATGTTGATTTGATGTAAGATAAAAAAAGAGTTATTAATGATTTGTTTCTTGATTTTGGTTTTGTGTGTAGGGAGATGAATTTGACGAGTCTGCTTTCCAAGAAGCTGTAAGAAGAGTTGTTGATGACCTAGCAGATTGACACTATTTTAGACCACCAACCATCTTCCAACACGTGTCCCCACTCATGCACTAGTGATGATTCACCACTCTTTTTGTAACCTAATTTTAGCCATTAGTTTCCACAATTTTATTTTTGGCCTTTTAAAAGGTAACAATATTGTAAATCTAGAGTATCAAGAATATTTTTCTTATATTAATATATATAATTTTTTTTAATTCATCGAATATATGCTCCAAATATATTTGATGTTAATCATTTCTTTCTTAATTAATTTTTCATGAGCCTACTATAGGGTTGAAGTCCAAAAGAATTAAATATTAATATTGCAATTAATTAAATCAGTGAAGATTATTTATTTTATAGGAAAAAAATATATGCAGACTTGTATATATAAGTTATACACACTTACACTTGTATATATATGTTGCCAATCTTGACCGATAACATCAAAGAAAGCAACGGCATCAAAATAATGACTGATTTGATGAATTCAAAATCTGGTCAAACGTCAAAACAATTATACTTCTCTCTATAGAATATTTTTCACCTAATCAAACGTTGTTTTCATAGTCTAAACAAGTTTAATTAATTAATTAATTACCCTAATAAAAAGTGCAATAGTTTTATTACGTTTCTTTAACATTTCATCACCTAATTATATTTAAATACGTGGCACTTCCCTATGTTTAATTTGGTTTTCGGGTTTTCAGGTTCGGATTTCGTGTTTCGTGTTTTCAGGTTCCTATAGGAACTTATAAAATCTTCTAGATGAATTAACTTTGTCAAATTTTACTGTTATTGGTAATAAATAATCATAAGAATTAAGAAGGGTTGATGACTTGATAAGACACTTTTGGGATCGCCTTTGAATTGAAAATATTTCATAATTTAATATTTTAGTCAAACTATTGGTTGACCTGAATCTGTTGATTATTATTTTTTCACCCTCGAAAATGACTAGTCATAAATTGGAAAAGTTAGTATAATCAGTTAGTGCTTATTGATTCTGTAAAATCTGGAAAATTAAAAATATTTTAGGTTGAAATGACGTGGACATTGAAATTTTGAGATAAATTATAGATTAATACCTCAAATAATTAATTAATTATTAATTTGGATCTCAAATTAAAATTTCATAATAAATTTGGATTTTACAAATATTTCGGTCATGCCGCAAGTTAAGAAATCATAATTTGTGCCACGAAGCCCTAGCTTGTGGCTATAAAGAACGTCTTCGGTGCATAAAAAAAAGGCAGACTTATATAGACAAATATCGAGCTCTCAAACTTAAAGTTCGAGTCTCCACCTTGAAATAACATATCTGTTTTTGAGGTATTTATATTTATTCAATTCAAGAAAAAAGTCTAAACCCATGAATTGAATTAGGAGAGAAGAATCAGAGAAGTTCCCGGAGATTGTAATCCACTTTCAGTTTACAAATACAATTTGGGGAATTTTAGATAAAAAAACTCACTAAACTTTTCGTAGTTTATATCCTATCATAAATGCATATAGTATAGATATATACATATTTTACACAAATTCACATTTACATATGTGTAAATATGTATAAATTAAAGATGAAAAACTACTCGATATATTTGATCGATCAGTATGTGAAGCATCTACAAGACCGACGACACCTTTGATCATCTTCGGTAAGAGAATAAATAAATAAATAAATAAAAATGGTCAAAGCAAGAAAATAAAAGAGACTAAAAATCAAAGTATCTCAGAAATTCATTTTCTCCTACCAAAGGGAGTCATCAACTTAATACATATAAACCAAAAGCTGTCACATTCTAATTCTTGATCATAAAATTCAGCACCTCCAGCTCAGAGTTGATTTATATATATATATATATATATATATATATATATATATATATATATATATATATATATATATATATATATATACCGTGGAATTTTTCCATGATGAGAAATCAAGAAAAGAAAAAGGCAATGAAATTATGGTCTCCGTAAGAGCTGGCTAATATGCACAACTTGTAACAACTTGGGAAACATCTTAGCACTTATTTTTCTATTTATGACAATAATATTTTTATTTTTGCAATCCAGTCCAAAATTTTGAATATGGTAAAAGAATGTTCCAACACACAAAATGTAGCCGAAAAACCGACATCAGCAACCAGATAATTTCGACTAAATCGAATTTTTTTCATCAACTACACGACTTTCAAGTGTATATCTACGAAGGGTTTTCACTAGCAAGGCCGTAACTAGAAGAATTAACGTAATAATTAAATAAATAGATGAGATATAACACATACGCTATTATGCTTGATTAGCTGCAGTTTCGGATTCTTGATCTACGTTAGTTTCTTTTTCGTTGTCTGGTTTGGCATTTATAAGCTTGTCTCTTAGCTTCTTCACGAGTTCTTCTCTCGCAGTTTCGTTTTCAGACAGGTATCGTTTGAGAGAATCCTTACCGTGAAATGTCTGATCATTCATATAAAGGTAAGGGACAGCCTTTGTGATGAATTTGTGTTTGCAACCCAAGTCTATTAGCTCTGCCTCTCGACAAATACCTTTGCCGAATTCGAGCTCAAATTCTGCGGTTTTGAACGGAGGTGCGTGCTTGTTCTTTACGATTTTTACAACTACCTGACTTCCTGTAGTCTGATTATAAAAAAAGCGGACTAATGAAAACAAAACATTTAAGGAAAAACGAAATCAGGCGCGTTTACATGAATAAAGAACTGGACGTGAGAAATGAGTACGATTAGTACCTCGTCTCCTTTCTTGACTAACCCTGTTCTTTTAATATTTAGACGAACTGAAGAATAAAATTTCAAGGCATTCCCACCACAAGTTACTTCAGACGGACCACCAAATCCTCCAAAAGTCGATAGCTTTGATCGAACCTACATCCAAATGTTGTTTTATCAAAACACTATGATAAAGAAAGAACAATACATGCAGTTGAGCTTAAAAGATGATATATAATCCAATGTGATAATTCGAAAATATTTAATCATGCGAAAAGATGAAAGAAAAAGGCCATGTATATTTTTATCCACAAAATATCGAAAAACCAGATTAGACCAACCAAAAATTACATCAAATATCGCAATCGGAAGTAAAAAAAAAAAAAAAAAAAGAAAAATTGGCTCTTACTTGATTTGTAAAAATTAATATGGTCTGTGCGAGGGATAAGGAGTGGGTTAATTTTCGTAGTGCCTGGCTCATAAGTCGAGCCTGCATTGCCATGTGAGCATCTCCCATTTCACCATCGAGTTCACCTTTAGGAACCAGAGCAGCTACCTGCGCAATAATAATACAAGATTGCAAAAGAGATAAGAAAAATATCGCACGGCGTTTTTTTGAAGTAAATCCATCATCGTTTGTACTCACACTATCCACAACAACGACATCAACCGAACCACTTCGGATTAGGGTGTCCACCAAACTAAGAGCTTGCTCACCGGAATCTGGTTGTGAAATCAGCAATTTCTCAGAGTCAACTCCAATAGCCTTGACCAAAGCTGGATCAAGAGCATGCTCGGCATCAAGAAAGACACAGTAACCTGTGTAACGACAAAGAAAAGTGGAACTAATTTCAGGAGTAGAGATAATTCTGAAAAAAATCGGAAAAATCACAAATAAAACAAGACTTCGAATTTTTCACACGTAAACATAAAACGAGGAAAATGACTAACCTCCCTGTTTTTGTGCCTCGGCAATAACATGCAGCGCAAGAGTTGTCTTGCCGGAAGCCTCGGGACCATATATCTCCACAACCCGTCCCTAATAAAACTCAAAGAAATAACCGAATTAAAATGCAGAACGAAAATAGTATCTAAAAAATGGATCACAATAAGATGCCACTAAAATAATAAATGACATCATTGTCCAATCACAAAACTCCTCGTCTTTGCTAAGCACTCACAAAATCGGTCGGATTTGGTTAAAACCAGCCCATATTCGAAGTCTTAACAAAGTATATTACATATCTAAAGCTTATGCAGACCAGGCGACAAAAAATTACAAATGCCTACTATTGAGCAATTAATCGAAACTGCAACATGCATACAATACAATCCTTTTATTTTATTTTATTTTATTTAATTTTGGTAAGAGACCTTTGGAAGTCCTCCGATTCCCAATGCAATATCCAAAGCAAAAGATCCAGTAGAGACGACCGCAGTCTGCCTTGGAGATATTGATCGGCCATGCCACATTATCGAGCCTTCTCCAAATGATGCTGTGATTTGATTCATAGCTACCTTCAGTGCTAAGTCTTTCTTCGACATATTCTCTTCCCCAGAATCACTTATTTGTGACTTCGATTTCTTTCTACCTTCAGTCGAATGAAATTATATGGTATTAACTTACTACAAGTGAACAATGGTAGATATAGAAACTCCTAGAAAAAGTTCAAGATTGATGCGCGGAAAAGACAACTTAGAAACTCGTCCACTTCAACCCAAACGTTGAAGGATCGGTTTCGGGTTTCATCTACTACAAAACCCACGAATTCAATAGCTGTTATTCTGTTCTAAATTACCGTATATAGTGATACAAACACAAGAAGTGCTTCTAAAACATTAGGCCGAGACATGAAGACAGATGAATCGAGACGGAATCGCATTATCCAGTTAAAAGCAGTCGGGGAATAAATAAAAAACACAAGAAAATTACAATATACCTAAAAGTTCAAACAAATATTAGAAGGAAAATTTGTGTGGAAGTGCAATGCAGTAAAATGTAATTTGAGTTGCACCAAAACGCACTCCAAACAATCGAAAGCAACTGCAAAATCGACGCAAAATTTGCTCAAAATACTGCACACAACACAACTGCAACATCTTTCCAAGTAATAGCAATAAGCAATCAAATTTTGGGGATGTATAGTCGAATTGAGGAAACGAAGCAAGCCGACAAACTGTCACTACCTTTAGTAGAGAAGTTGCACCGATGAATAGACGTTTCCGATAATCCTGTCACGGGTCCCTGCAAAACAGTTAGAATAATGTTGGGCTGGAGTGACAAAAAGGAATATTTGCTCTCTTCAACAGAAAACAAAACATAGAGCAGAGAGAACAGTTCACAAAAAATAAATTGAAAAAAAAAAAAAAAACCTGCAACTGCGATAACATAGAGCTGCTGAGAGAAGAAGCCCTTCGCAGAAATCTTGCCATAGCAGATTATAATCCAAAAATTAAATTAAACAGAAAACAAAAACCCTTCTTCTACAGTGAACAAGACACTCTCTCTCTCTCTCTCTCCCACTCGAACAGAAATCGTGTACAAAAATGTAAATTTTTCGGTTTGATGTTTCTTTGCTGAAATAATCTCAATACGATTCGTGTATTCAAATTGAAACAATGAGGGAGTGGGTGTTGTGTGGGTTGAGGCCTGAGGGGAGGAATTTTAGGGTTCTAAAGGATTTTCCCGCCCTTTTCAACTTCTCACGGAGACCAAGAATGTTATGTATATATGTTATAAAATACAAATATAAAATTAATATTTGATTATTAATTAGTAAAGATAACTTCTAAAAAAATGAAGAAAAAAAAATCCTTATTTCAAAGAATTATATATGCCCATCGTCCTTCTGCAATTACGGAAGCCAATTTAACGCCGCCACCAAGCACGCAGCCCTCCTCCGCTCAACCCGAGAACTCGAACCCGCCGAACGGTGCCGTTTTGATGGAGGATTCGTCGGCGCAACGGCAAAACCTAGCCCTAAATCCATCAAATACAAATTATACTTTCCCCCCGCACCGCCGACGGCCACTGCGCAGCCGCACGTATCGCGCACTCATCGGAATTATGTCTCACTCCCGCGTCGACTCTACCCATCTCCAAAAGCAAGGTATTACACGAAACACCCTAATTTCGATTTCAGTGTCTTAGTTAATTTAGTTTATGCGGAATTGCTGATTTGCTTCACCAACTTGTGTTGATTTATATATTTATTGAAATAAGGGTTATGATTTTCGTAAGCTAGGGTTGATAGCTAAAACTAAAAGTTTTGTTAATTTAACTAGTTAATGGTGTTGCCTTTGGTGAAGTTGACAGTGATGATTCCGTTTTAAGACCAGCGTTTCAAGAAAACCGATTAACCGCTCGTAATGAGGTCAATTCAGTAGATGTATTAGCTCCTGATCCTAATAGCAAGGTGCCCGAGGATACGTTAGTTCAAGAAACTACGGTCGGTGAGAACAGAGAAAAATTATGTTTTCAGGATGGAGTTATCGATTGCATAAACACAACGGAATCAAAAGTTGATCACGTAAAAGTGGTAAAAGATGTCGAGCATGAAGGTAGTAGGAACTTATCGGTGGTTGAGAACCAGATGGATGACTTTGATTTTCATGTTTCCAAGGATCAAGAAAATGCGAATGGTGTTGATATTCAGATGGAAGGGCTCGAAGTGGACAAGGACTTCTGTATTGGCGATTTTTCCGAAGCTCTTGACTCTTGCTTTGACATGGATACGGTCGTCGAATTATCAAAATCGGGAGAAGAAGGGCAAGAAAATCACATGGTTTTGGAGGAGAACAAACCTAAAGAAACTGAGTGTCAATTGAAGGTGAAGGAGATGGAACTGGAGAAACTCGTGCATAATTCAGCTGTGGTGGAACCATCTTGTTGTCTAAATGCTGATGGCGATATGGAAGAAGGGGAGATTTCTGGGGAAGATGAGTTTGTTGATGCGCCTTTTGACGCATTGTCCGAATTTGCTGTGCATGCTTCTGACGGCTCCTTTGATAAAGAAAAAGACATTTGTAATAATGAAGATAGAGGACGTGAAACAACTGATCCCTCGCTTGTTAATGTAGTGAATAGTGACACTGACTTTATGGAAGTGGAAAGCATAACACCATTTGGAAAGATGCAAGAGAATGCTGCTGAAGATCAAATTTGTGCTACAACTGAGAAGGTATGATGATTTTGCATGCATCTTTTTGTAGTGAATATGCGTTATGATCACACATCTTAACTATGTGCTTGATTCGAAATGGATGTGCTTAATTAGTTAAATGTTTTCCTTCTAATCGCAATATGAAAATCTTTTTCTTGGTGCTACTGAGGCTTTGTTTAGCAATTATTAGTCCTTAATCGATTCATTGATGAACTCGACTCGTATACAATTTAATCGTGTGCAAACTTGTTAGTAGGGGTTTTTCAATTGAATCAAGCTCGTTGTTTGTGTAAATATCATTCTAAAATTTGGAGTTAGTTCCATTTCCTTTTAGAAGCTCCACATCCTATATTCTTTTCATACTACGTGCTGTCTCCATAACTGTTGGAATGTGATGTCAAATTTTATGCAGGACCAGGACCTCGGCAAAAAGAAAAGGAAAAAAGGCCCTTTGACCAAGGAAAGAAGAGCTAAGAAAAAGGTACGTGTTGAAAATGTCTACTAGAGGTGTAAATTTATCGTGTGTTTATCAACGACGATGTTTAACCACCAATGCTGGTCTGTGTAGGTTTTCATCTTATTGACTGATCATATTCATATACTGTGGTTTACGGTTTATATGTCTTCATTTTTGTAACACGCGATTATTTTGCAGAAAAAAGAAAGAATTAAAAGAGCAGAAAAAAACAGAGAAGATGGGGTTAGAAGAGCAAATCCGCAACCTATTATCAAGCCAAAGAAGATATCGGAATGTCGCCACTATAAATACGGGAGATGCTATGAGGTTGTATTAGATCTTACGATCATATCTCAGTTTTTAATGCATTGTTCAGTTATACACCATACCAACAACTGAGAAACACACGCACTCACAGAGTAAAAAATGCCTCGAAACTTGTCTTACATTTATATTTTTATTTTCTAATTGTTTTACAGGGTGAGAAGTGCAAGTTCTCCCATGATACAGTTCCATTGACGAAGTCCACGGTATGCTTAACTAAACTAAGTGATACTTATGTATTGAAATATTGAATAGATTAATCTTCACGTGCAGATATCGGTTTATGGTAATTAAAACTTGTATGTAAATGTCTTGCAGCCATGTGCCTATTTTGCTCGTAACAGTTGCATGAAAGGAAAGGACTGTCCGTTTGACCATGAACTCTCCAAGTACCCATGCACAAAGTATATTACAGATAATTCCTGTCCTAGAGGCTCCAACTGTTCGTTTTCGCACGAGGCAAGTATTTTCCTAGTACGATTTCTCATTCCTGTCTAGGTTTTCTCACTTTCTATGCTCGTTACATGACAGCTTAACGTGTTTTCTGCTGTTTTACCCTGTCTCAGAAGCCAGCCAAGCAGAATTTCTCCATAACACCAAATACGTCGTCAGTACCCGAGTTAACTTCTCCTCAGCATACAGTGCCTGACAAAAGAAGATCCTCTACCGAATCAAAGGCCACCAAGCCTGAATTGAAGTTCTCAACCCCACCAAACAACACGAACACTATCAAACAAACCGATAATTATGGTATACATCATCAGAGAAGTAATGGTAAGAGTACAGATCCGCTTCCAATGAATCCTGTCACAAGAACTGTTAGGCAGCCACCCAGAGGAGTTAGCTTCCTCTCGACCGGCGAAAAATCGTCGGGTGAGTCCAGTAAGCACAAAGTAGGCGAACTCTCTGTGAAAACAACTAACGGTGTTGATGCTGGTTGTAAAACAAGCCTTGACAAGTCGAACGAGATGTCAGAGAAGGTAGCTCCAAGGAAACCACGCGGAATAAACTTTCTCTCCTTTGCCCAGCCTTCTTCGGATAATTCCAGCAGTAATATATTCTCTAACCTGCCCTTGAGTAATAGTAAATCAGGAACATCAGTAATAAACGGTACAAATGAAGGCAAGTTAACTTCCTCACTGCTAGAGAACGATGGAGCTCTCAAAGCCAACAGACAGGACACCATTCAAATACCTTCCCTTTCCTTTGGTGGGCAAAACTCACATTTTTCTAGCTCTTTTAAGACGTCACTCTTGTCAAATACACCAAGTTCGGTGCAGAATGCTATCCAGTCAACATTAGCTTTTGCAGAAAAGTTTGAGCCTGACATTAAAGTTGGATCATATCTTAATCAACTGAGAAGCTAGAAATTCTCAAGATGGTGACTTAAGTGATGCCTTTGAGAGTTTCGGTTTTCTTAATTGAGAGTTTCGGTTTTCTTACGTGAGAACCTTTAGAAAATTGAATCTCGGGACAGAAATTCAATATCCGAATTATGGTCTCAAAGATGTGTTAGATACAGGACAGAATTATGAGAATGATTGAAGCGTTCAGTTTCTACAAAGCATCCAGGTTCTTTGGATGAGGGATACGGTAATTATGAAGACCAGTTCAGGCCACGAAGATTACTTACCTACAATGGAGGGGGTCATGCAAAAGGTTCGACAATCTTAAATGATGGCTGTGGTAGAGTTATAATTAAGACGTAATTTCTAAAGGTATGGAATAGTTGCTGATGTCACAATAACTGCAGGAGGACAGAGGGTGCGCCCGTAAGGGCATTGCCAGACTATTTGTGCTCGGCGTGCTGAGGTACAGCATTTAGGGTTGCTCGAAATCCTCGACAGTTAATCGTTCTTTTTAATCAGACGCAAGAGCAGCAACTTCAACCTACCGTGCCCTATGTTCAGCAGACACTAACTTGTACATGTACAAAATCACTAAGAAGATCTGTGCCCCCGTTTTTTTTAAATGCATAGTTCAGAAGTTATTTGTGTTATTATTTAATGAATTAGTTACGTCTGTATGCGTATTCGTGTCTTGGTAAACGAATTGCAAGTACAATGAAGAATCTTACATACACGATACATGTATTTCCCAATATTTATACAGTTTTAACAGTGAGAGAAACTATTATGAGCTTCATACAATGCAGTTCCTCCCCCCAAAAAAAAATCGAAAAAAACAGAAAGATGAATTTTAGAGTCAGTCCTTGTTATGACCTCGAGGAGAGCATATCTTTTCCAATCGTTTTCCGACAGATGCCGAAAAACTACCTTCCTTCTTCGGTGCAGAATCCTTCTTAGGATGTATTGTCTGAATTAGGGCTTCGATTTCTTCCTTGGCTCTTTCAAACACATTGGGACCTTTCACTTCACTGATTGGTGTGTCTTCATCAATGTCGAAACTCATTCCATGAGTTTCTTTACGATGATTTGGTTTGTGTCCAACTGTTTCAATCTCTTCCTTAGCCTTTACAGTTTTGTTTGCTGCCTTCGCATCCTTTTCTGAAAGAACAGTCATCAACGAGAATATTTCACTAAAATGCAGATTATGGAGCCCGGAAAAAAGTCCCCCTTGGATACTTTCGTTGAAATTTAGCAATAGAAATCAATAATTTACATAATTGAGATGCAATTTTGAAAAAGGATGATCTAATTTACAAGACGAAACATTGAAATCAACTAGGGTTTTTGATTGCAGTCTATAAGTTCTATAGAAAAAAAAAAACCAGATACTTAACCAGGTAGGAATCAAATAAAAAGACCAAGTGAAAATACGTCGTAAAATCGTTGTTTATGCTATTCCTTTGTGTTCACATCCACACATTAAAACCCAAAGCAGGTGTATAATATAATCTATATAATCATTGTCAATCACATTGACATCATCTTCTCTAATAAGAGCATGCAAACAAAATCCGATAAAAAATAGAGAACCGAAACACAATGACTATACAAAAGATTCAGATAATCACACCAAACACTTGAAAGACGTCGATACGAACACATTTCGTACGAACCTGAATACGGCTCCGATTTCTCGGATTTCGAACTTTTCGCCGACTCCTTTTTAGGATGAATTGCCTCAACAAGGGCTTCGATTTCCTCCTTTGCTCTCTCGAAAACATTTGGGGCTTTCACATCACTCATTGGGGTATTCGCATCAATATCTTCGCGCAATCCATGTGTTTCCTTATTTCGGCGATTCTCGTGTTTGTCTTTATGCAAAACTGCCTCAAACTCTTTGCCTGCTCATCATGCCAAAATAAAATTAAAAATTAAAAATAAAAATTGCATCTTTGGAGAAAAAAAACTACATGTAATGTGCAAATCGAATTAGGGTTTGATTTAATTAGACTTAACTTATGCAAACAAAAATCCAGAATCTCCAGCCAGAAACCCCAAGTTCAGAAAAAAACACAAAATTATAAATGTATTCACCTGACAAAGAGTTGGATGAAGAGGAATCCGCCATGAAAGGATTCTCCGAGTTTGTGATTCGTCTGAATTTTCTCAACGGTGGTGAATTTGTGATGAGATTGAAAATCTATTTTTGAAGAGCTTTTAATTCCGTGTTGGAAATGAGTTGGGTTTCGAGAGAATAAGGAATCAAACGTTTCAGAGATGCCTGCCTGCCTGGTTTATTAAACCAGCGCTTGGGACCAATTTTTATTCTCTAATTTAATTAATTTAATACAATTAAAAAATATTTTCCGTTGGTATTATTTTCTCTCACTTTTTATGGGTTCCTTTCGATCATACATTCGGTGATAAATATCGGGTGGGTCTTCTGCTGCCACGTGTTCCTTTTTTTTATTTTTCTAAAACCCACTCCTAAAGGTAAATCCCAGCGGAGAATCTATATATAATATAAAAAGAGGATCTATGCCCTCAATGATTGACATGTGACAAATGATGATGTCATTTATCAAAATTGCGTAGTTGGAGTTCAATTGATGAGGTGGATTCTTCAATTGGTGAGTTGTCAATTTTATTTTGGTATGTATTTAAATTATTTCCTATTTAACATTTATACACTCATTTAAACAATTACCACATGTATATATATTATTTCCAAAGTTAATATTTTATAAATTCGAAATAAAAAATCTTATTTATATTTTCAGTATTTCAAAATATATTTATTGAAAAAATTCATGATACTCAATTTTTTTACGAATATTCAAATAATTTTCAGAAAAAAACATTTTTTAATATTAAAATATTAAAATAAAGGAATACAATATTCAAATATTTTGGAATATTCAAATATCCATTCCATTAAAACTAATTATAATTTTTTTTATTTTTTAATTGTACTATTTAATAAATATACAATATTTTTTGTATATAACTTCTTTTATACCGTATTTCAAATTATTCTATTATACCATATTTCAAATTAAAAATAATTATACTATTTAATAAATATACAATATCTTGAAATTTTAAATTTTAACAATTTCTATTATATCGTATTTCAAATTATAAATACGGTATATTTCATATTATAAATAAGGTATCTATATCTCTATATCTATATATAATATAAAAAGAGAATCTATGCCCTCAATGATTGACATGTGGCAAATGATGATGTCATTTGTCAAAATTGCTTAGTTGGAATTCAATTGATTAGGTGGATTCTTCAATTGATTAGGTGGCATTTTTATTTATGGATGTTTTTAAGTTTTTTCCTATTTTACATTTACACAATCATTTAATAATTACCACGTGTGTATATATATATATATATATATATATATATATATGATATGCCTATTGGCCCAGCCCAATAGCCCACATTTACTGGACCACAGGCCCAACTTAATAGTTATTTCTACAGAGGCCCAATCAAACCCAAATAAGGTTGGGCCCGATAAATTGTCTCGACCCAATCAATAAAGTATAAATAGAACTTAAATTCATCGAATGAAGGTATGTTATTATTATTCCCTCAATTCTTCTATTGGAATTCTCTCCACAATTACCAACTATCTTCACGTCTGACTTGAGCGTCGGAGGGGTTTCCGCCGGATCAACCCCCGGCTTAGATTACGTGTTTTCTGTTCGCAGGATCCTAGAGTAAATTAAAGTTCTCAGGACTATCTAGCTCGTGAGCACGTGACCTACTTTGCTCTCCTAGCTTCAACACACTAGGTGATTTATTTTTTACATCATCATTTTGGCGCCGTCTGTGGGAATGCAGACCAGATCACGTAGCCAGCAAGATCCTCCTGAGTCCACTCGGAGAGAGAATGACACAGCTAACAACCTCCCAGTTCGAGGAGGCTCTGGCTTGCCACCTCCTCCACGTGCTCCGGATCCACCACGTGAGGTTCAGGTGATTCCCCCTCGGGATCCACCACTCGCCGATCCTCCACTACAGGCTCCACCTCTACCTGCTTCTCGAACGGTTCAAATAACCGAGGAGGCACTCCAACGAATGATAACAGAAGTTTCTACTCGCGCCGCCATTGATGCGGTGGCGCAATATATCGCCACGATGGCAGCAAATGCTCCCCCCGCGATCCCAGCTAACGCTCCCCCCGTGATCCCAGCTAATGCTCCACCCGCAATGCCACCCAGGGTACAGCAACCGGCCCAGAACAATGACGATCGGATAAGTGTATCCTCATCCACCTCAGATCCAAGATCCCGGATGCAGCTATCTACCAATCACAGGGAGCCACAACCCAGACAACAACGCCACCATTCGCTCCAACGGGGTGATGCGTCTCTACGAAGAGCTCATCTCTTTAATGAAGGGGAAGACGAGATAAATAGTAGAGTATCTCGCCAAAACCAGTTCCCCAGATTGAACAATCCAATTGACGGAAGAGCGCCAGTCCCAACAAGGCGCAATCCTTTCACCCTAAACATCCTCAACGAGGTATTGCCTCAAGGAGTGAAAGTATCGGGCTTACCTCAGTTCGAAGGAACTACCGACCCGCAGGAACACATAGAGAAGTTCCACGCTATGGCGGACCTATATGGCCCGACAGATGCAGCAATGTGCAAGATGTTTCGCACCACTCTATCCAAGAGAGCCATGAATTGGTTCAACGCTCTGCCCACAGGATCAATTGACACTTTCGCTCAGTTGTCATTGCGTTTCACCAACCAATTCGCCATCAATAAGCAATATGCTAAAACTCCAGCACATCTCTTCTCTATCGTACAGAGAGACAATGAAACACTCCGCAACTACATCAGGCGTTTTGTGGAGGCTGTTCATGAAGTTCCCAGTGTAGGACAAGATATGCTCTCAGGGATTATGCAGCAAAACCTGAAGTCGGGTAGGTTCAAAGAATCTATCGCAGGAAGACCTCCTGGCAACTTAGATGAGTTGTTAAATCGAGCTGAAAAATATATACGCATAGAAGAAGCTTCTGCCAATGCTCCTCCCAAGAGGAAGAGAGAAGATGACCGCCCTGACATTAGGAGACGAGATGATCGACGTCCTCCACCCCCACCTCAAGGCCAATCATCTTCAACTTATAATCGATTCACTCCACTCAATACTCGCCTCACCGAAATACTTCATGTGATTGAACAAAAAGGTCTGGCAGAGCCTCCACGCCCAATGCAACCCAATGCGAAACGAGAAAAATCGGATCGCTATTGTCGATTCCACAGAGATAAAGGGCATACTACTGAGGAATGTGCGCAACTCAAATTGGCGATTGAGAGGTTGATCAAGCAAGGCCACTTAAGCGAATATATTGATAAGCCTCGAAATAAGCGTCGTGATGATCTTCCACGCCGAGATAACAATCGAGATCAACAACAACGACGAGACGATGGGGGTCATCGGCGCGACCCAGATAACAATGATAACCAACCCACCCGAGGAATCATCTCTTTTATCTCCGGAGGACCGGCAGGTGGCGACTCACAAAATGCGAGACGCACCCTCGCTCGATCAGCACGCATGAATCAAGAACATGCTTCTCCATCCGCATCCGTCTATCAAATACGAAGACCTGATCATGGCATAGTCTTCAACTCCTCAGACCTTGAAGGACCAGATGAAGATCATGTCGATGCGTTGGTGATAACTGCAACGGTGGCCAACTTCATAGTTAAAAAGATACTAGTGGACGGTGGGAGCTCAGCCGACATTATGTATCTCCACACATTCAAGCAGCTAGGCATAGACAACGCACGGTTCAATCCCATCACTACACCACTGAAAGGATTCACGGGAGAAGGTGTTTTATCCATGGGGGAAGTAGAGTTACCCATCTCCTTAGGGGAAGATCCTTGTCGAGTAACGAAAATGATAAAATTCCTTATCGTCGACAAGCCATCCCCTTATAACATCATCGTGGGAAGGCCCGCGATCCATACATTCAAGTCTGTGCCTTCATCTTACCACCAAAAGTGGAAATTCCCCACTCCTTACGGGATGGAAGAGGTACTTGGAGATAGGCGTCTCGCTCGAGAATGTTATGCAAGAGCTCTACGTGAACCCTCTAAGAGATCTAATCCTTTAGGGAAAGGAGACGACACCCCGAGACAAGATAAGCGAAAATGGGTCAACGCGGTCATCGAAGCTGATAAAGAAATCCTAATCAGCGTACCCGACGACACCGCCAAGCTAGCCGCAGTTGAAGAACTAAAATCAGTAGAACTCATACCCGGAGATAATTCTAAGCTTCTCCGCATCGGCTCTGATCTAGATCAAGAAGTGGAGAATCAGCTAGTTAACTTCCTTAGGCAAAATGGAGACGTATTTGCTTGGAAAGCTCAAGATCTAACGGGAATTCCTCCGAAAGTAGCATTGCATCGACTAAACGTTGACAAAAGATTGAAACCGGTCAAGCAACGTAAAAGGACTTTCGGTCCTGAGCGCAACAAACATATCAAAGAGGAAGTGGCAAAACTCTTAGATGCAGGCCACATTAGATCGGTTCAGTATCCCGAGTGGTTATCCAATGTGGTATTAGTACCTAAACCCGGAGACAAGTGGAGGCTATGTGTAGACTTCACCGACCTCAACAAGGCATGCCCGAAGGATCCATTTCCCTTACCAAGGATCGACCAGCTCATAGACTCAACCTCAGGGTGCGAACTTCTCAGCTTCCTTGATGCATATCAAGGATACAACCAAATATTGCTCGCCCCAGAAGATCAAGAGAGAGCTAGTTTCATTACTGACCAAGGCATCTATTGCTATCGAGTTATGCCGTTCGGTCTCAAGAATGCAGGAGCTACTTACCAACGCCTGGTGAACACGATGTTCGCGGACTTGATTGGTAAGAACATGGAAGTGTACATTGATGACATGCTTGTCAAGAGTATTAAAGTCGCGGATCACCTAACCGATTTAAGTCAATGCTTCTCCATCTTACGTAAATACAAGATGAAGCTCAATCCCCTAAAATGTTCTTTTGGAGTTCGAGGCGGAAAATTCTTAGGGTATATGATATCACAACGGGGAATTGAAGCCAACCCAGCAAAGATTGAAGCTATCACCTCCATGGCCCCTCCCACATCGATTAAGAAGGTCCAACAACTTAATGGTTGTTTGGCAGCCTTAAACCGATTTATATCCCGATCGGCTGATAAGGGTCTTCCTTTCTTCAAGATACTAAGAGGTGGGAAAAAGTTTGAGTGGAATGAAGACTGTCAAAGAGCTTTCACAGAATTGAAAGCATATCTCACTTCCCCACCTCTACTAACGAAGCCCCAGCCGGGAGACACTCTTTTCCTATACTTGGCCATTTCTGCTGATGCCATTAGCGCAGTGCTCATTCGGGATGGTGAAAAAGGTCACCAACCGATATATTACATAAGCCGAGCTCTCCAAGGCCCAGAGCACCGCTACACCAATATGGAGAAACTTGCTCTCGCGCTCATCAATGCAGCCAGAAAGTTACGTCCGTACTTCCAGTCGCACCAGGTGATAGTTCTCACCAACTATCCCCTTAAACAAATATTGAGAAGTCCCGAGACTTCCGGACGATTAGCTAAATGGGCTATAGAGCTAAGTGAATATGGGGTTGAGTTCAAACCACGCCCAGCCATCAAAGCTCAAATCCTAGCAGACTTTGTAGTAGAGATGACTACATCGGAAGAGAGCACATCCATACCCACTTGGGCCATCAATGTTGATGGATCATCTACCGCTACAGGAGGAGGCGCGGGTATTGTACTAACAAGCCCAGATGGCGATGAATTCGAGTATGCTAAACGGTTTGATTTCAAAGCCTCCAATAACGAAGCCGAATATGAAGCTTTGATCGCTGGTATCCGCCTCGCTTTAGCAGCTGGAGCTCGCAAACTCATAGTACACAGCGACTCCCAGTTGGTGGTCAACCAAGTCCTTGGGAACTATGAAGCCATAGAAGAATCCATGGCAAAGTACCTTGCTCTTGCACTTACCCTCCTCTCAAAATTGGATAGCTACGAGATAAAGCAAGTACCACGAGCCAACAATATTGATGCAGACAAGTTGGCTAGACTTGGTAGTTCCATGGCAAGCATTGGAAGCCGGAAAATCACCCTTCTCACGGCTTCCCAACCAGAAATAGTCTCCACCGACGGAGTGAATTGCGCTGAAGAGAGCGAACCCTGTTGGATCACCCCCATTACAAACTATCTCAAAAGCGGGGAACTTCCGACTGACATCGCCCAAGCGAAGAAAATAAAGGTAAGGGCGGCCCGTTTCCTAATGATAGGTGAAGATCTCTACAAGCGAGGGTTCTCCTCCCCCTATCTTAAATGCCTTAACCCATCAGCAGCAGACTATGTGCTTCGGGAAGTACATGAAGGCATTTGTGGTAATCATTTAAGTGGAAGAAACTTAGCTCTCAAAATATTGAGACAAGGTTACTATTGGCCCACCATGCATGAAGATGCGAAAAAACTAGTGCAGAGATGCAAGCCTTGCCAAGAACACGCTAACATCCTTCATCTCCCCGCAACATTGATGCAACCGATTGACAGTCCCATACCTTTCGCTCAATGGGGAGTTGACTTGGTCGGTCCTTTTCCACCAGCAACAGGAGGACGCAAGTTCCTCATTGTAGCTGTAGATTACTTCACCAAGTGGGTAGAAGGAGAACCTTTAGCTCGCATTCGAGAAGAAGATGTCATCCAATTCCTTTGGAAAAACATTGTGTGCCGCTTCGGCATTCCCCGTTCCATTATTTCGGACAATGGAACACAATTTTGTGGAGACAAAGTCAAGAGTTGGTGCCTTGGCTTATCTATTAAGCAATTCTTCACTTCGGTGGCAAACCCCCAAGCAAATGGTCAAACTGAAGTAACCAATCGCACGATACTTCAACATCTCAAGACAAGGCTTGGAAGTGCCAAGGGAAAGTGGGTTGAAGAATTACCCAATGCTCTGTGGGCATATCGAACAACCCCACGAACAGCAACAGGAGAATCTCCATTTCACCTAGCTTTTGGAACAGAGGCTGTAGCACCCGTAGAGATTGGCGAACCCTCTTGGAGAGTCATCAATTATTCACCAGAGGAGAATGAAGAAGCAATGAGGGCTAACCTCGATCTCGTCGACGAGCTAAGAGAGATTGCATCCATCAGACAGCAAATGTACAAGAGTCGCATGGCGAAAGTTTATAACTCCAAAGTCCGCCCTCGCTCTTTCCAAGTAGGAGATTTAGTTCTCCGCAAAGCCGAAGCCTCACGCCCAATCGGTAAACTCGACCCGAAGTGGGAAGGACCATATAAAATCACACAAGTGATTAACAATGGAGCATATCGTCTCGAGAACCTCGACGGACACCCTATACCCAGAACCTGGAATATAGGGAATCTCAAAAGGTTCTACGCTTGAGGTATACATCCATCTTAAATCAAATTTGTTTAAGTTTACATCTACATCTTCCTCATACGAAAGTCGCCTTGCAGGCTTCACAACCTTCCACGTCTCTCTTCATGCAAAAATGTCTCTAAAAGCTCGAGAAGGGACTCCATAACGAGGTGTGTAAACATCCCTCCCAAACTGGGGGGCTAGTGATATTATCTACATCAACCTTCCATAACACGTCTCATCATCTTCTTACAGATTAAGAGCCAATTACGAGAGGATGCTTACCGACCACCATTCACCCAAAGAGAGAAGATACTCTGTACTATCTCACTAAGGGTAACACCACTTTTACTAAGTCATATCACAAGCACATTAGTGGGTCTCTATACTAAACAATAACGCCATCTCCTTTGACAGGCAGGGTCGCGCAGCAATCCACCGCAACTCATGAGTTGTTCTCATATCTCGGAATGCGAGGAACAGAAAAAGTCCCAATATTGAGTACGTGATCCCAAATACGCATCACTCCAACTTATGAAACTATTAAGTCTTCAATACAAGTACTTGAATTTTTTTTTTACCCCGATACTTTTCAGGCAAAGAGACACCAAAAGACAGTAGACATACTACCCTACACCAAGCACGGATGAGCACAAGGAAGACGTGGAAGAAGAATAAAATCTCTTATAGTCACATAGATTACTTTTCAATAGTTCGATTTATTTGTTTTTTACGAGTTATTTCCCTTCGCCTCACGGAAGCTTATGACAATTCGCATTTCTTATTAATGATTAAATCAAGTTTTTACTTTACTCTCAAAGTTATTGTTCATATACTACTTAACCGTTACGACGGGTTCATCTCACTTCAACCCTAAAAACACTTAGAGAAATTAAGATAGTCCATATAGCCTGGCCAGCTGGATTATCTGCGTCTCTCTATTTTGATTTTCAGGGTCCTCATGCTTAAAACGTGGCCATGGACTAAATAATACTCCGACCTACGAGGTCCAAAATAAAGGGCACGATCCCAAAAAATTATAAAAAAATCTTGAGAGACTGATCCCCTCATCAAGAATATCTCGAACAATGCTATATGCAAAACATTAGTGCGAAATCAATGAATAAAAAGAAACAATAACTTTGATAGCAAAATCAACGTCTCAAGGTGCAAACAAATACCAAGTCATGAAGCATGCAAAAATACTAGTGGACATACCCACTTAATAAAAATAAAAATAAAAAACCAAGTCTTCTTCTAAGGAAAATAAAAACAACATCACACCAAACTACACTTTACGAGCAGAAGTAGCTTCGGTAGTTCGATCATCTGCTTCCGCATCCGAGGCAACTTCAGTACACTCGACATCAATATCCTCCCCATCATCAGGAATGTCCTCCTCCATACCTCGAATAATCTTCTCGTCAATTCCTCCAACCTTGCGTAAGTACTGACGACACGTCCTAACCAAAGGAGCATAAACCCCAGCTATTGCTCGATCTTCGATCATAGCTCGACAGATATCACTCTTCTGAAAGCGACGTTCCCCTTCTAACATAACCGATTCCTTATAAGCTGCTCCAGCCGAAGAAGCCAAAAACCTCTTCCCCGTAAACTTCTCGGCATCATACTTCTCCTTCAGCTCGTCATAGCACCGATCTAATTTCATCAGTTCAATTTTACTCGCCTCGGTCTCGCTCCTACTAATCTCCAATTCATCGGTCCTCTGAATGAGCAGAGTCTCGGCCACCTCTAGTTTGGTTTCCGCAGCCTCCAATTGAGCCTTTAGCTCTTTCTCCCTTGCCTCCCAACCAGCACGCTCCTCATCATGGGTCTTTTCGACTTGCTCCTCCTGCTCCACTAGATACCTCCACGTAGCTATAAGCTATATCAAAATTCAAACAGAAAATATTAGAGTATGGAGACTTATAATCTAAAACGAAAACATATTAAATTAAACAAATATTTACCCGACACATGTCTCCGCCAGCCAACGAAAGCATATGAGCACGACCTTTACCCGACATCCGACTTCGGTCATACTCCCCAACGAAACCCTCAGTCTTCTTCAGCGCGATAGTATGATCGGTCGTATCCCAAAAAGAATCCTTCCCCTCTCGGTTCACCCCATACGTGAACAAGCATTTGCCTGCACCCCTGGAGGCACATGAGAAACCTCAGGATCCACTCGAGGCCGTTTCGGTGCAGGCACATACTCGATCTCAACCATCTCATCCTTCCCATTATTAACCAATCGATCCAACTCATCCCCCTCAACATTATGATCACGATCATCTCCGCTTGCATGCGGAGCCTCCACGCGGGTCACTTCGCGCGATTTGCTACTACTTGATTTCGCTTGCTTCAAAGGATCCCTCTTCGCTTGCTTTTTCGCACCTCCAGTAGCTTTCTTCCGAAGAGCCGCAAAATCAATACACCCATCTAAAAAAAAAAAAATAAATAAATAAATTATTAGAATAGCAGAGACAACACAAAATAAGGCACAAATGCATAAAACATGTAGACTACACGCAACGGTGTAGGCGCCCGACCCTTTGGAATAAGACAACTCGGATCGAACTCCAAAGCACACAACCCCGACTCCTTAATACGTTTCTTCATATTCTTCATTATCTTAAAAGATTCGCATACCGGATTCCAAACAAGCGGAACATCAGACGTCGGAGCCCTTACATAAAAAAATAAAGTACTCCATTTATCCCACTTCAAGCCAATACTCTTCAAAAATCTGAAAGGAACCCGAGGATGTGTGCAGAAGAAGGGTAAATCACTTGAACGATGTAGGGTAAACAAGGCCTTGAACATCTCAACACTAATCGGTAATCCTACTTCGATCATTCTTTGTCGAAAAGCTTCGAACGTGAGAATCACGTTCGGAGTTAATTGACTATATCCTATCCGAAATTCCTCACATACATTCAAAAGAGTGGAGTGAGGCACAATCTGCGAGGAACATGTCAAATATGCGACGTATTGGGTGTGGAACCCTACGGGGGGTGCATACAATGTTCACCTTTTTTAGGTAAGAGCATCTCAATATTCCTCGGAGCCCCAACTAGCTGACGGAGAATACCGAATTGAGATTCGGTTAACGAAGTATCATAATCCACCAAACTCAAATTAAGTGGTTTTATTTTCTTCCCTTTATTTTTATCTATAATGACATCTTCTCGTGGAATATCATCACCATCTCCCGCATCTCCATCCGGATTTACATCACTCTCGGATCCCTCGGATCCCTCCGACTCCTTAGAAGAACTCGACTTAAGCGATTCTTCACTATCACTCCCAAAGTCCACAAATTGAGACCTAAGACGTCTCCTACTAGTACCAACATCATCACTAATATTAGGAATATCAACATTTGATGCCAAAAAATCACCCGGAGAAGACACGAGTTGACGCTCCTCGAAAACGGCCGAAAAAGACCCCTCCACGCGCCCGCACGCGCCCGCAGACGCGCCCCCACGCGCAGCGGACGCGCCGGACGCGCGTCCACGCGCCCCAGACC